TCGACACAACACACTTTTTGGACTCAAGCACAATTTTAAAGCCATCGCGACACATTTGAGAACCGCTAACAAGATTCTTCTTGATGGAGGGGACATGCTGCACGTTCTTTAATAGCACCGTCTTTCCATAAGTAAACTTCAGAACGACCGTACCAACACCAATAACACGCGCATGCGAACCATTTCTCATCAGCAAGGCTCTAGTCCTGCCGTCCTGATAGGAAGTAAACAAAGAAATATCAGCACACACATGAATATTAGCACCACTATCCATCCACCACTCAGGTGAAAGACAAACTGAAAGAATAAAAGATAAAGAATTACCATACCCAGATCTTCCTCGTCCAGTCTCGCTAATCACCACGTTTGCTGATTTCTTTTCTTGCTTATATTTGCGGTTTGGGCACGCACTTGCCCAATGCTCATCACTCCCGCAAATAAAGCAACCTCCACCATTCTTGTTGTTTTTCTTCTTAAACTCAGTAATTTGCTTAGGCTTTGTATTGTTATTCTCTTGCATGTTCTTCTTCTTTTTATTACCGGATGCAAATGAGTTTTTCTTCCGCACCATATTGGCAGCGGAAGACTCAACCCCTTTTCCACGGTTGTCTTTTGCTCTCGCCCTCTCCTCAACATCAAGAGATCCAATAAGCTTAGCCACGCTAAACTCTTGTCTCTTGTGTTTTAGAGAAGTAGCAAAATCCCTCCAAAAAGGTGACAGCTTAGCGATTATACCGCTGGCCACAAACTTGTCGGGCAACAAATATAGAAAATGTTCTAGTTCCTTTGCTAGCGCCTGTATCTCATGAGCCTGTTCCACTACAGAATGGTTTTCAACCATTTTGTTATCATACAACTGCTCAATAAGGTACAACTCACTACCAGCATCAGAAACTCCAAACTTTGCCTCAAGAGCATCCCATAATTCTTTGCCTGATGTGCAAGATATGTAGTTTTTCTCATACTTACTATGAAGTGCACTAATCACGGCGCCTCAAAATAGGTTATCGGCAGCCAAGAACTTTTGCTCCTCCTCAGCAGTAAATTGTTCAGGCTTCCCCTGTGCGGCGTGATAGCAGTTCATAGCAATCAACTACAACACCATCTTAGCACGCCATATCATGAAATTCTTGCCATCAAAGATATTCGGCTTCAAAACAGCAGCAAAACCACCAACAAAAAATTGCCCAAGATTAGGTTTTTGGATTGTTAGATAATTAGGTATTTTCATGGTCAATTTAATCCAGAAATAAAATATCAGCGGGTTCGTAACGACATATATGTGTATGTGTATATCACTAACAAACGTTACAGCATGCAAGTATGACATACCGATCAATACAGTAAGAATGCAAAGTACGGTAATCAGAGAGTTAAGAGTGTACCCAGCGGAGGGTCCCATGCCGAGGGCATCGGAGGCTCCATTCGCACCAAACATAGTGCGTTGCTTGAAGTCGTAGACCATAGTCGATGCAGGAAGGTGTTCGCAGTGCAGTCCTCCGAACGGTCACCAGGAAGAAGACACATTGCTGTTCCGAGAGCGATCACCAGGAAGAAGATGTCTGCGACGTGGACAAGCAGTCACGGAATCGCTCCCCAAAAACCTAATCGCCGCACAACCCGTGCAAGGTTCGTAGGCGGACGAGGGTTCCGGAGGCAACTGCTCTCCCATTGCTCCGTGCGCGCAGAGGTACGGGACGGGAAAAACTAAAGGGCGGCTGAGATGTGGTCTCTCGGAAGCGGAAGGGAAGATTGGACTGACGGAGGACTTCTACTTTTATGCCTGCGGCGGGGAGGGAGAAAGCCAGCCGAGGAACTCAGGAGACGGAGACACGAAGAGACGGTAGCTGGCGCAATCAACTCGCCTCCACCATAAAAGAGAGAAACTCCCGTAATTATGTGGATTAAGTGGCAAAACCTGGCCACGCCCGCCTGTCCACTCGCTCGCCGCCTGCCTGCCTGATTGCCATGCCCACGCCCACGCCCACGGCCTCGGCTCAGCCCGGCCTGGCCCAACAAGGTACGACGGCTGGCTGTCCAAAATCACCATGTGCAGTGCTTCCCTGAAGACACCATGGACATGCTAGACGTGCTGAGGTCACTTAACATTGAAAATAGTAAGATTGAGAATATGGTCCCGCTTCATAGGTTTAGAGTTTGTCGTGTGCTCCATTTACAAAACTGCCATGTCCCGATCAGCAGCTTGAAGCATATAGGGAGGTTGTTGCATCTTAAGTAGTTAGATATATCTTTGACAACTGTTGAAGAGCTTCCTAAGGAACTCGGGCATCTGAAGTCTCTACAGGCACTGGTATTAGTCAATATCGGGCTAGAGGAGCTACCACCGGCTGTGTGCTCACTTGTACAGTTGATGTGCCTGGTAGCTATAGGGTTCGAAAGGTTCCCAGTTGATAGGATTGGTAACCTATCGTCCCTGGAGGACCTACGGTTAGAGAGCATAGTTGGCCGGATTGCCGCCGAGGGCCTAGTGGTAGAGCTTGGCAAGCTGACAAGGTTGAGCTCTGCGTTGCCGGTGAGCTCCGCGCCGCTGGCAAGCACACCAGTGACCTGCATGTGCCACCCACCCCTCCTTTGTGCCACCGCCGCCCATGCCGCCCCCACACCCGCCCTCTGTGCGCCGCCGCCTACAACTCCGCGTTGCCGGTGAGCACACCAGTGACCTCCACGCGCTGATGAGCCTCCATTCGCCGAAGCAGCAAGAAGATGTTTGCGTTGAAAGAGCATTTTGCAAACGTATATTTTAAGTGTTTCAGATATTTCAGAGGTATGTTGCAAGTGTTTTTTATCGACGTTGCAAAAGTAGATTAGGATGTTGCAAAAGTAGATCCGAGTGTTGCACATGTTGCAGTGGCTACACACGTATGTTTCAAATGTACGTTCTAAATGTTTCATCTGTATCAGACGTATGTTGCAAGTGTTTTCATCTAGATGTTGCATATACATGCATGTTGCAAGCATATGTTTTATGTGTTTCAGGTGTTTCATACTTCTGTTGCAAGTGTCTCATCTGGTTGTTTCATATGTTTCAGGAGCTAATGCATATCACAACAAGGTCTGTATATGAATTTTTTTTGGCAAAGCAGCATTGTGTTTAGAAAATCCAGGTGGAGACGAGAATTTCACTAGTAGTGTTTTTCTTGCTTGTTGGAGACGGAGAAGGTCAGACAACAGCCTGAGTGAGATTCAGAAGTTCCGATCGATCAAATGTTCACCACCAATTATGTATGGACTAGCACTTGCCAATTAAAAGCAGCACATGGTAGAGGAAGAGGATGCAATGCAACATGGACCATCCCTGTCAGATATTGAGACGAGGGTGAAACCGAGCCAGAGCACTGTGTCTGTGCTAGTGCTAGAGCTAGTGTAGTGTGGATACCATTGGCAATCATTGCTCCCCAAAAATCCCCCATTGGATCACAGTGTGACATGGCGCGTAAGCATGCATGTAAACCAAACAGGCACCAGCAGGAGAAAAAAGAACGATATATGTGACAGTCAAAAAGCTGAATTTGGGGAGATTAAAATGCTGAATGCTTTTGTCAGCCTCCCTCAAGGTTCCTCCATGGCTCCACAAGCTGGATGTCGAGGCCAATGTCGATGCATTGAATTCCCAACCTTTTAGGGGGCTTAATTCCCAACCTTCATATGGTGGTGCCACCTCGCCAGCAGCGCCTGCGGTGGCGTCCAGGATGCAACCGTCGCGATGGCCGCGTCCATCAGAGAGGCGGCGGACTCCCTCATGCGGGCAGCAGCTAGCGGGGAACGGCCCCGGCACACGTGCTCACGCGGAACGTATTGGAAGAGGCAGCAGGAGCTTGCGAGTCCAAACTCCCTGACGAGGAAATGGAAGGCAGGAGCGGGGGAAGCTCCGAACACAGGTGCCCTGTTGTGTTGGCTGATTCATGAAACATAAATTTACAAAATTAAAATTAAAAAAAAACAAAAGCAGTCTGGGCACGGGCTAGGCTTTGAAGGGCCTGGCACATGTGGAACTTAGATGGATATTCTAATTAAAAATATTTAATTTATTAAATGGACTGCTTTGAGACGTGTGCTATTTTTAGAAGGAGTACCGGATCAATTCTCAATATGTATATGACATGAGTAATCTAATAACAACATCTCTTTGGTATCCTAAACATTACTACTTTTTTATATATTTGGTCGGTTTAACTCCTCAAAGTTCTTCGGAGGGAGGGAGTACTCCGCATGCAGCTCGTGCTATTGAAGTGGTATCGGAGAGCTTATCAAATGCATATGCGGCCAGACGTGTCACACAACAGCCGAAACCAATGGTGGTGTCCCGGTTTTGCTCCTACCGTGTTTGCAACAGCGACGCCGGCAGCAGAGGTAGCCATGTGCGACAGCACGTATTTTATTTTTCTAATCCTCCTTGGCTCCTCGCACTTTGAGAAGCCGGCCGACAGGAACATATAAATTTGCGAGATTTGTTTTTCTCCTTGCAGCTTTCCATTGTTTTAGAAAATCGAGATGTGCTTGGCAGAGGTAGCCATGTGCGTAAAGACATTTGAAGCCCTTCTTTAGTTGGACCCCAAATTCCAAAAAAGTGCTACAGAGGTAGCCATGTGCGTAAAGACATTTGAAGCCCTTCTTTAGTTGGACCCCAAATTCCAAAAAAGTGCTACAGTACCTGTCACATCGAATGTTTGCGGCCCGTGCATGGAGCATTAAATGTAGATGAAAAAAAAACTAATTGCACAGTTTGGTGGGAAATTGCGAGACGAACGTTTTGAGCCTAATTAGTCTATGTTTGAACACTAATTGCCAAATAAAAACGAAGGTGCTATAATAGCCCCAAATTCCAACTTCTTGGAACTAAACGAGGGCTGAATTCATGCACCACATCTTGGTAGCGTACATCTCTAGCTTCAGCATTTGTTGCTATGCACCCAACGAGCATGTACCAAGCAAGCAAAAGAGACAATGTGAGAGCACTCCACTGAGCGGTCGAGCTGAGCATGGAGCTCGCCTTGGGGGCCATGGCCGGCCTAGCCCCCAAGCTGGGCGAGCTTCTCACGGCGGAGTACGTCGTGCAGAAGGGCCTCAAGCCCGACATCGAGTCCCTCTCCAAGGAGCTTGTGATGATGAAAGCCTCTCTGGAGGACTCGTCTCGGGTACCACCGGACCAGCTCAGTGAGGTGGAAAAGCACTGGGCACGGCAGGTCCGGGAGCTGTCGTACGACATGGAGGACGTCGTCGACGACTTCATCCTGCGCGTGGCTAATGGTGGCAAGTCTGCAACTGCCACCGACGCCAACGTCTTCAAGAAGATCCTTGGCAAGGCCACCGCTGCGGTGAAGAAGGTCAAGCATCGCCATCAGATCTCTGACAAGATTAAAGACATCAAGAAACTCTCCAACGAGCTGGCTGAGCTCCGTGCCAAGTACACAGTAAGGGGTGCGGGTGCGGATCTCGCCGCGAACACTGGCATTGATCCTCGTGTCATCAATCTCTACAAGAAAGAGTCAGATCTTGTTGGCATCGAGGAGTCAAGGGACAAACTAATCAGGATGTTGTCGATAAGGACCAAAGACGATGCTCATGCTCACGTGTCTCATCAGAGCCTAAAGATAGTGTCTATAGTTGGGGTTGGAGGATTGGGTAAGACTACTCTAGCCAAAACGGTGCATGATATGCTCAAGAAACAATTTGTCTGTTCTACTTTTATTTCTGTTGGTAGGACTCCTAGTCTGACTAGGACATTTGAGAAGATGCTAGTGGATCTGGATGAAAATTATAGCCAAGTGAACATGTCAAGATGGGATGAAGAGCGATTCTCCAACGAGCTGCATAAATTCTTACAGCAGAAGAGGTAGTCCATGTCATTCTCTCTGTTCAGTTTAGTTCAGTGTTATTTTTCATTAGCAAACCGTGAGCAGTTTATACATCCATATTGTACACCAAGCCCTAGGCTTCAGTGTTGTTCATTCACTAAAAGACCTTAGCAGTTTATACATTCCTATTGTACACCAAGCCCTAGGCCTTGGCATTTGTTTCATTGAGTGAAATCAGTTATGAAAAAAAATTAGTTTTGGTGAAGTGTTAATTGAATTTGCTGCCAAACATCTAGAAAAATCTATGAAATTTCCAAGATTAATAGATTGGATCTTTACCTTATGTAGCACAAATTAATTTAATTAACAAATACTCTTCCTTGGAGCGGGTTGCAATTTTTCCTTGCTACAATCATGTTGATGTTGTCGTGCAACTGGTTAATATGGTTACAGATTTGCCAAGTTATTCATAGCTCTTGTGTCAATTATAGGTACTTCATCGTTGTTGATGACATATGGGATGTTGGAACATGGGAAGTGATAAGATATGCCTTGAAGGACAATAATTGTGGAAGTCGAATAATCATGACTACTCGTAATTTTGAGGTTATCACGAAAGTAGAAGAGATTTACAGACTAAAACCTCTTTCTGATGGAAACTCTAAGAAATTATTCAACAAAAGAATACATGGTCAGGAAGGAGAAACACTTGATGATATATCAACTGAAGTGTCTAGTAAGATCATAGATAAATGTGGTGGTGTACCGTTGGCTATCATTGCAATAGCTAGTTTATTGGTTGACAGACCTTGCGATGATTGGTTAAAGGTGTATGACTCAATTGGTTTTGGGAAAGGAGACAACACAACAAAGATTATGTCATATAGCTACTATGATCTGCCTTCTTATCTAAAACCATGCCTATTGCAGCTAAGCATATTTCCAGAAGATTTAACAATTGATACAAGGTGTGTGATATGGGTGTGGATAGCAGAAGGTTTTGTCCATCTTGATGAGAAAGAGGAGGGTAGCCTATTTGACGTTGGAGAAAGATACTTCAAGGAGCTTGTAAATAGAAGCATGATCCAACCAATAGATGACAAATATAGTCGGTTCATACAACAGTTCAAAATTCATGATATTGTGTTTGATCTCATCCGTGAGCTGTCGAAAGATGAAAACTTTATTTCTATTTTGAGTAGTAGAGAGCAACATGCATCTTTGGACAATTTAAGAAGCGAGAAGAAGACCAGCATGACTCGTTCGAACAGTAAGGTACGCCGTCTGGCTCTCCGAAATCACCATGTGCAGCAAATTCCTGATGACACCATTGACATGCAAGAGGTTTTGAGGTCACTTAACATTATAAATAGTGAGGTTGAGATTATGACACCACTTCATAGCTTCAGAGTTTGCCGTGTGCTATATATAGAAAACAGCTACGTCCCAATCAGCTTAAAGCATATAGGGAGGTTGTTGCATCTCAAGTACTTAGATATATCTTTCACGGCTGTTGACGAGGTTCCTAAGGAACTGGGGCATCTGAAATCTCTACAGTCACTGGTATTAATCAATATTGGGCTAGACGAGCTACCACCGACTGTTTGTTCGCTTACACAGCTGATGTGCCTGGTAGCTCAGGGGTTCAAAAGGTTCCCGGCTAACAGGATGGGGAACCTAACATCTCTAGAGGAGCTACGGTTAAAGACCGTAATTGGTCGGAGTACCACGGAGGACCTTGTGGTAGAGCTTGGCAAGCTGACGAGGTTGAGGATGGTCAGGATGACTTTGGCCGAGGAACTAGACGAGAGCTTGCAAAAAGCATTGGTGCGATCGCTGTGCAGTCTGCGGGAACTCCAGGAACTAGTGCTTTCTTCTTCAGGATCACAGCAGGGTGCCACTGTGTGGGAAGACTGGGAGCCACCTATGCAGCTCCGGCGCCTACTTGTAGGAGGCATCTTCTTCTGGCAGCTGCCTGGGTGGATCAACCGCTCTCGCGTGCCACACCTCATCTTCTTATCTCTGGAAAAGTTTGCTGTTGAAGTTCAGGACCTCGATAACCTAGCGAGATTGCCAGAGCTGAGCTACCTCGAGCTAGATGGTTTCGTCTGGCCTCCAGGGTATACTGTTGGCACAGACGACTTCAAGAATCTGAGATTCTGTGATGTGGGTACAACGCTCAAATTTCCTATGGGCGCCATGCCAAGGCTAGAAGAGCTGCAGTTTGGTGTTTTTGCAGGGTATTGGAGTTGGCAAGTTAATGGTGTGCCGTTTGAGCAGTTCCCAACAAAGGATATAATCGAAGATCTTGACTTGGGCCTGCATAACCTCCTTTCACTTGAGAAAGTCACCGTCAGAGTCATCTGCTCGGGTGCTACTGCCGTAGAAGTGCAGGAGGTGGAGGCCGTGGTCACAAGTGCTGTGGAAAATCATCCCAATCGTCCAACCATACAAGTGCATCGAATGCTTGAAAGACTGATTTTATCTGACGAACACAGGGTGGCTCTGGTGAGGCTGTCTCTTCCAGTCTGTTAAACAAATACGTTCTCTTAAATCTTAATTACCTGTACGTATACTGAATTCTGCTCCTTGCAATTCTCAGCTTCAGCAACACATTCAACAACGCTACCATGTGCTCTGGTTGAAGGATGAGCCTGATGCTTGGTTCATCGCCCACCTGCGGTCGTACCGACTTCTTCAGAAAGCCGTTATTTCCATCGACTGTGCGGGTGCCAGCCTGTGTGAGGTGGAGAAAGTGGAAGCAGCTTTTAGGCATGCAGCCGAGGTTCACCGTAACCATCCGACTATCCAACTGATCAGAACAAACACCGACGAAATGGTCTCCTCATCTAACCATCCCGACACAGAGGTAGCAGCCTGGATTGATTTTTTTTTCAGTAGTTATTAATGGAAACCTTAGCTTTGACTATATAACTTACCATCGGCACTTATTTTTCCTTCCCAAACTCCAGCTGGACGACGATCATTTCCTTTGCAAACTCCAGCTCAGTAATTGATAACTCTTGTTTCTCCAGTCCTTCTAACCCAGCAGGTAAGTGTCAGTATGTGGATGTGTTTTATTGCTCCAAATTTTATTGCTCTATCTAGTTTATCACGATTCACTGTCATGTATACGTGTCAGTATGTGGATGTGTTTTTACATGTGCATGCTCAGTTGGTTGTTTACATGTGCATGCTCACACATGTTTTCTGTGTGTTGGAACTCTAAATGTGCAAATTTAAGGTACTTGGTTCCGAATACTAGATTGGGTGATTACATAATGCTGCATAGACAATCCCAATGCCAGAGAAAAATGGGTATCCAACAATGATCCTATACAGGGAGTGGTCGGTTTATGTTGGGATAATGGATCCCAACAGAGTGAGTAGAGATAGAGTCTCCGCTTGGGCGAAGGCTCAATGCAAGGATGAGAACTCAGGTGGGCTCAAACACAATTAGGGTTTCATAAATAGCATTTAACAACCTCCCTTTTTACATAGGGTTCACTCCCCCCTTTTATAGGCCACTGTGCATGATGAGGTTCATTTACAATCGTGCATTTAGGTAGTACGAGCATATTCTTGGGATATTCCCATACATAAGCAAACCTCCGAGGGCATCTCGGGTCTCCTCCTTCACCAACCGCCTTGCTCTATGGGCCTTACCCCTTACCCATTGGAGGCCCATTTGCCATTTAGGATCCATGCGCCATGGGAGATCCCCTTTCAGTCGGTGGAGGCCCTCATTGATTCCTGCTGCCTCCTGGGTCCTCCTGTCCGCCTCTGCCATGATGGCATTTGCCTTTGCCCTGCATCGAGCCTACGCCACTCGGGGCCTTCTCCGTCGTCCTTGAGCCTTCGCCTGTCTAGGGGGCGTTGGCGAAGGCTTCCTGCATAATCCCTGCAGATTATTTCTCATATGATTCACAACATTAGTCTTTTCTGGTAGGATGGGTACTCAGCCTCCACGGCTCATATGTTTGTGTCCCAACAGTTTGTATTTTCCTGTCCTAATACGTTTATATTTTTGTGAAAGCATGAGTATGTGCATCTCTTAATTATCCCCTTCTTTTATGCTCTTAGGAAAATTGATTTGTAATTTTAGGCACCGCCATTGTAGATGATGGCGGCCGGTTGCTCTGGCACCAATCATCCTAGATGATGCTATTAGCTCATGGATGATGGCAGGGTACAAGGGCCTCTAGGCGCTTGTTTGCCGTTGATCATCCTTGTGGGTTGGGGGTGGTTCATGTTACTTGTTGTGTTCTTTTTTTCTTTTTCTTTTTTTGCTTCTGTTTATTGTACTCTTGATTCTCCTTAATGAAAAACGTTCTCAGCAAGTTCTCGAAAGAAAATTTTCGGCACCAGCATTCTAGCTAGAACATAATCACCAACAGTTTTTTTTAGACATTCTATGAGTTTTCGGTTACTGGATGTACGCCCGGTTTCCTTCTTTTATTAAACAAAGTTTCCAAATTTTTTCAAGCTAATTTGGTTGTTCGTGTTTCAGTTAGTAGACATCAAAGTTTGGTACAAATTAAAAGTTGATTTGCAGATAAAAAAAAAAGAATAGCTAACCAACTGAAACGCACCATGTATGCTAATCAAACTGATTTCGTTATGGCAGCCCTGATAAAAAGTGTGCTAATATCTGGAGAATAAATTTTAACAGGTTAATTGGTTTGATATGTCCTAAGATGATTTTAAGTTAAATGAACTAATCAAATCATCGAGGGAAACCAATATATCATGTACCTGGATGGTAGTTCATGTTTTAATCTTGTAATAGTGTTTTTTCTAGATTGAATTGTTTTGGATTAGGTGTATTCCTTGGCAAAACCACCTTATCTCATTATGCTCTGCTTGAAGAAATTCTGCGGTTACATTTTCCTTTACATGGTTGCTCAATCCTTTGCATTTCAACTTATTTACTATATATGCAAATCAATATTTCAGGTATGTGAGTTGTTTAAGCACTGAGGAGTGGTCCCATTCAGCAAGATGATTGCAAGCATTCGCAGAGCTTGTCATATTTGTGCTTCTTACTCTAAAATCACATTGAAGAGGCAGATGAACCACAAGTGTGAACAATATTTGTCTCTATTTTTATAAGAAGGTTTATATATTTCCTTGAAAGTAATCTTGTAGATTTTATGTGAAGTGTATTTTTTATGACATGGGCCATGTATTTCCTTGAAAACGGCCATGAGAGTTTGTATGTGAACTATATTTTTCCATTTTTTCTGAGATGAGTTGTGTATTTGCTTGAAAAACAAGGATGATATATTTTCCTTGAAAATAATCATGAGAACGTTTGAACTCTAATTTCTTAAATAAAGTTATCATCATGTATGTGTGATCTGAACCCTGTATTCTCAATGCCAACGTGTGGGTTTTTGGTGCAAGCTGTTGTTATACCTTGTCTTTGTTGTCTCTATATTGTTCATATTGTAGCACAATACTCATCTAGGTATTTTCTTATCAATATGTGGTTGTGATAGATTTTAGTTACCAATTGCTTTCAGGGGCGGATCTAGAAACACCATCCGGGGAGGGCTAATTAGTAAAGGGCTGCTTGGGCTAGCTGCGGGAGGGGCTATGCTGGGCTGAACGTAAGGGATTTCTATGGGCTGCAGAAGACCTGCTTATAGGAAATTTGTGCTCCGCCCCGGGCTGCAGCTCCCCTAGCCCAGGGCCTGGATCCACCCCTGATTGCTTTGCATATGGTTTATAGTTGTCCACTTTGCATCGCACCTCAGTATGTGTTCACATATGTTTAATTGAAAATATCTCTCATTTGTTCATATTCTACTTTTCGATCATTGTTCATGGTTTCTTATTTGCATCACACATCCATGTGTGTTTGACGTGTGTTCAATTAATAGTCTTTCATGTGTCTGCATTCTAATAGCATACTTGAATCACACTTTGTATATTTAGCCGCTTATGATTGACTTTAGTTACTAATTATATTATATACTTTTCACCCCCTTATTCATATTTTCCATCTTTGCATACAACATTCACGTGTGCTTAGCTATGTATTTAGCTCAAAAATCAACATACTCATTGCTTTATACATATACATATATGGGTGGAGGTGGAAATTAGATGCAAATTTTGGTGAATTACTTTTTATTAGTTTTCGTATTGGCATATATGAGTAATTTAGATGAAAATTAAGGGGTTACTAAGTTATTTTACATAATGACAGTGGTGAATTATTTAGATTAAGATTTAGAGGTTTGTTACTTTAGAGTAATTTTAAAATGGCCAAGGTGAGTAGTTTTTTTAGAAAAAAAAAACAGAATAGACTTAGGCCCTGTTTGGTTGAGTTGTGGTTTTTGGAAAAGCTATTGTGAGCTGTGACTTTTGGAAAACCTGCTGTGAGATGTCGACGACTGTGAGAAAGCCAAAAGTTGTTTGGTTCAGTAGTTGTGGCTTTTGTAAAAATAGTTGTCAGTCTCTCTCACTTACAAGCAGACCCCACATGTCATCCATATGCCTCCCCACTCAACCCCCTCTCTCTCACGAGTGGACCCCATTCGCCAGGATCTTCTTCTTCCTCTTGACAGTACACAGATCTACGCTGCTGCACATCCGGTGCTCTCCCCCGGCGAGGCCCGGCCAGGACGCCGAGGTGCTCTCCACCGGCGAGGCTGACTGGCCCTAGAGCTCCGCTCTGGCGAGGGAGCCCTTAGGGCCGCCCCCGCCTCATAGCCCCCCAGTGCCGCGCCCCTGCAGCAGCCGGCACCGGTGAAGAGGAAGAGAGGGCCGCCGTCTCCATGCGAACCCGTCAGAGAGGAGCTTGTAACACCCCGCGTCCAAAATCTGCTTATATGGCCTAGCTCGGCACGTAGAACGGGCCCGGGCCTGCATACGCGTAGCGTCTCTCTTATGCTTTCGTCCTCGTTTCGTGTAAAAGGTTAACCCGGAGATGCTACGTTTGGAACGACAAGGCTTATAAGTTAGCCCTCACCCTCCTAAACTTCTAAGGTGATACTAAACCCACCAACAACCATATATGTGCCACTTGGGCTACATGGGACAACTTCACAGCTACTACAGGCTACTAATGGGTTGAGATGTTACAGAGCTGTTGGCTGAGTGTAAAGAGCGCCGCAGTGTGAGCCGGCTAGGGGCGAGAGCTTCTTTCCTCGCGATACATTACTGACTCGAATAGAAGAAAAAAACGAATTGGTATCTTCATCACCAGTGGCAAGTAGGTAATTTCCCACCCCCCTCCAAAAGCCAGTGAAAGCAGATAGAGAGCTGCTTTTAGATTTGTACTATACTAAAAGCTGCTTTTAAGCAAAAGCACATATGTCTTTTGGGCCCTTTGGTTCGGCTTTTGCCTTTTTGGGGCAAAAGCTACATCCAAAAGCCCAACCAAATAGGGTCTTATTGGCTATTATTGTTATTGATTGACTATTATAGTATACCAAATACTCAGATGATGAGTTGTCTTTTTATTTTTATGAGAATTTTTATGATTTATTTTTTAACGTATTTTGCGAGAATTAATATTGAGGGTGGCAATACTTGCTTTTTATGACATTGAGGGAAGCTGTTCGTCCCTGATATGATCTTGAGAAAATTTGTCTTAAGTATCGCCAATAAATTACCCAATCCAAGAATGAAAGATCACTGCTATATCTGTACTAGTTTTATTAATGATGTAATTTAGAATATACAGTGAACCTTTCGTTATTTTTTTTGAGAATTACACAGTACAACGCAAACGTCCACAACACGCACGTACACTCACCCCTATGAGCACACGTACGCAAACCCTACCCTTATGAGCACCTCCGAAGAACCGAGCCGGCAGATCTCGAGATTCACGAAGTCACTACTGCCATTGAAAGTATAGCCGTTAAATTCTGGAATAAATCCAGAAAAATATGAACACCCATGCCAAGTCGAAGACTTAAATCCGGATAAGCAGGTTACACCACAAGAAACCTAACTAGTTCGCGTGAACCTTTCGTTATTGAATATTGATTATTGAAACATAATGGAAAATCATATGTTTGGGTGGTTG